ATACTCAATACTTCAGATTCTAAGTGTATTTTGATGTACAACTGCTCATAGAACTACAAATACACTACAATGTCCTCTTGTCAAGGACACTCCTTCACATGATGCTATAAAAACAAAACATATCAGTATAACCTGGTAAANCAGCTAAAGTTATCAACAATGGGCATTCACACTAGCACTTCCGGCAAAAACGCTAGTGTGAATGCCTCTTGCTGATAACTTGCAGAAGGATTGAACTGTTTCGTTCAATTGCTTATTGCTCCGCGTTCCCCCGCGGAGCAATAAGCAAAAAACCTCCAAAATACGCACCGTCAGACCTCCGCCGGGGGTGGTTTTAGCCCCCCTCCCCGGGGTAGGAACATCAGATCCCGGTCGGATTTTAAAGCCCTGGTTCTGCCCTATAAGCTGATACTTGAATGGAGTCTCTGTGACGTTGCCCCGCAGTGTTATAAGCAAATTACACACGACTTAGTGCATTTTACGCGCATTTTTGGGAGGAAATTTCAACCGTCGTTTGCTTCTCCCGCGGGCTCTGAGGATCGGATTCGGGAAAGTGAGATGACTTTGGAAACCTACGGTCCTCCTCTACAAACTGGAGGTGATTGCAAGTTCCTGGGACGTTCCCCCCGCGGAGCTATTAACCAACGACCGGCCGAAAAAGGCGCTTTGGCGGGCGATATAGTACTCAATTTACTACGGAGCCTCTAGCGCCGGCTCTGAGCGTCGGATCCGGGCGGGAGATGGCTCGTTTTAATGTTCTGAATCTCCGCTACAACCTGGAGGTGGTTTCAAGTTCCCACGCGGAGAAATAAGTGATCAAAAGTCGTCGGGCGAGCTCCTGCGGGTGAAACGGATGATGTGTGTCCCATCAGTGTATGAATGTGATTGGCACTGATTAGTTTCCACAGCTGATTGTAGATGTTAGCTGTGTAGGGCCGTATTGGAGTGCTGTGTGAATGAGTAAATGAGGACACAGATTGCGATGTGAAGTGCTTGGAGTGTCCTGTTTGGATAGAAAAGTACTGTACAAGTACAGTCCATTTACCATTATTCAGCTAAAGTTATCAGCAAAAACAGTTCTACATGCTAAACGTCTGTTCATTAAGTTCAATTAATCTTCCGGCCAAAAAAAGTGTCGTTCTCCCCCCATCATCATTTCATACAGAGCTTCCCAAATCTGAATCCCAATTTCGTGTAGGCCTACGTCTTCAGACGTTGCATCACCAGCCATGGAAGGATGGAATTCATGGTTTGTCATATTTTCTGCATTGATGTTGTCACCTTCACTTCCCGTGTTCTGAGGTGTCATTTCTATTACCACTATGTATTCAATTGGCCCCAGCATTGCCCACACCTGTTCCCACCCCTCTCCAGGCACCAGGTTTTCCCTAACCACGTTCTCAGCTTCGTTAACGTCTTCAAACGGTGCATCACCAGCCACGGAAGGATGGGATTCATCGTTTGTCGCATTTCCTTCATCGATGGTGTCACTTTCATTTTCCATGTTCTGAGGTATCATTTCTATTTCCTCTGTGTTTTCAGGCATATCTTAACGGTTAAAAATGTGACTCTGGCTTTGGCTCAGGATCAAAAAGTTTAGCTGAAAATGTGAATGCAAATCGATGATGTCACTGATGATGTCACAGCTGAACATTCTGTTGCCATGGAGACCGCATATTTTAAGAAACCAACTGATGATGTCACTGATGATGTCACAGCTGAACATTCTGTTGCCATGGAGACCGTATATTTTAAGAAACAAACCGTTGATGTCACTTATGTGACTGATGATCATCATCGTTAGCTTTTAGCTGCTCTGTTTATGCATTTCCATTGGAACTTTGAGTCATGAGGGTCCTCAGGCTCTGCTTCCTCAAAGGAAGACATGTCGGTGGAATTGACATAGTGTGTCAATTGACACACTGGCATTTCTGGCGAAAATGCCAGTGTGAATGTCTCT